ACTTAATTCACCAATTAATGTTAAAAACAACCATGGATTCGGGCAATTTAACTAATATTGAGTTAAGAACACTTACCCCGTTATTTTCTCTGAAAATCTCCCAAAAATCCTCTCAATCTGAGCTCCAAATCGTTAAAAATGAACTTAAGCTTTCTGTCCATACCTCTCTTCTTCGCGAACGCGACAGGTCCCTTGCGTTTGCGAAGCACAAAATGTGCTTTTCAACATTTGTTCTTCGCGAACGCGATGCTTTACGGAGCCCTTCTTCGCGAACGCGAAGGCAAAAAACCCATGCCTACTATGTTTCCCTTCGTGAATGCGATACCCCATACGCGAACGCGATGCACAACCCAGCTTCCCTTCGCGAACGCGAGGCCCCCTCGCGAATGCGAAGAGTAAATCTTGCCTGCCTAAAATTCCTCTTCGCGAACGTGAGGGCCCACTCGCGAACGCGAAAGAGAAAAATCTGAAAAATGCAGCAACAAATATCAGCAATCCAATGTTACTTACCTCGAACTCCAAGATTAGAAGAGTTACTTACCTCGAACAAGCCAAATCCAATGTCGAGCAAGCTAAACAATGCTCCAACAATTCTACTCTACGTGTATGAACTTCCAAACGGCTCGAATCTAGTCACAATTAATTTGATTCAGCCCAAAATATTTATAGGAATTAATTCCATATCAAAATACTAATATTTCCATAAAATCCGAAATTACGCCCCAAAAATCACCCATGGGGCCCACGTCTCGGAATCTGACGAAAGTTATAAGATATTAACAACCATTCAACCACGATTCCAACCATATAAATTTTACTCAAATTCGACATCGATTCGACCCTCAAATCTCCAAATTAAACCAAGAGGGTTTTCACAATTTTTTCAACTTAATTCACCAATTAATGTTAAAAACAACCATGGATTCGGGCAATTTAACTAATATTGAGTTAAGAACACTTATCCCGTTGTTTTCTCTGAAAATCTCCCAAAAATCCCCTCAATCCGAGCTCCAAATCGTTAAAAATGGAAAATGGGACGAAGTCCCATTTTGTGAACTTAAGCTTTCTGTCCAGACCTCTCTTCTTCGCGAACGCGACAGGTCCCTTGCGTTCGCGAAGCACAAAATGTGCTTTCCAACATTTGTTCTTCGTGAACGCGAGACACTTTTCGCGAACGCGATGCTTTACGGAGCCCTTCTTCGCGAACACATGCTCCCCTTCGCGAACGCGAAGGCAAAAAACCCGTGCCTACTATGTTTCCCTTCGCGAACGCAATACCCCATATGCGAGCGCGATGCACAACCCAGCTTCCCTTCGCGAACGCGAGGCCCCCTCGTGAACGCGAAGAGTAAATCTTGCGTGCCTGAAATTCCTCTTCGCGAACGCGAGGGACCCACTCGCGAACGCGAAAGAGAAAAATCCGAAAAATACAGCAACAAATATCAGCAATCTCACCAAGGCAAAAAATAATCCGTTAACCATCCAAAACTCACCCGAGCCCCTCGGGACCTCAACCAAATATGCCAACAAGTCCTAAAATATCATACAGATTTAGTCGAACTCTCAAATCACCTCAAACAACGCTAAAACCATGAATTACACCCCAATTTAAGCCTAATAAACTTTGAAATTTTTATTTTCTACAAACGACTCCGGAACCTATCAATTCACGTCCGATTGACCTCATATTTTGCATACAAGTCATAAATGACATAATGGAGGTATTTAAATTTTCAGAATCGGATTCTGACCCCGATATCAAAAAGTCAACCCCCGGTCAAACTTTCTAAAATTCAACTTTCGGCATTTCAAGCCTAATTCCACTATGGGCCTCCAAATAATTTTTCGGACACGCTCCTAAGTCCAAAATCACCATATAGAGCTATTAGAATCATCAGAATTAAATTCCGAGGTTATTTACACATAAGTTAATATCCGGTCAACTATTTCAACATAAGCTTCCAACATGAAAATTCATTATTCCAAGCTAACTCCGAAATACCTTAAAACCAAAACAGACAATTCACACAAGTCATAATACCTCATAGGAAGTTATTCAAGACTTTAAATAGTTGAAAGAAACGTAAATATTCAAAACGACCGGTCGGGTCGTTACATGGATGGGAATAAGACCTGTTGTAAATTGATTGTACTTTATAGAAACCCTACCTAATGGTATCATCTTAGGTTCAAAGGGACAAACAAGTAATGTTACAATAATTGAGCACATTAACAAAATTCCATTTGCAAAAAAATTGTGATAGATGTGCATATTCCTACTGTAGAGGAGGATGTGATTTTATTCTCTTAATAAATCTATAAGATCGATTTCGGTTGGGGTGTGTAGGAATACTCTTGATAGATTTACTGATATTTTGTTGTGAATGAGGGTGAGATTAATTTCTCTTAATGAATTCATAGACTATTTGGTCGGAGTATGCAAAGTAACTCTTGATGATATCACCGCTCTAGGTACGAAGTGGAGGCCGTTTCAATAAGATTTTGACAGAAAAATTTTAAAGCACTTAGATAAAAGGTTTCTGGACACATGTTCGTAAGGTGTCAAAGGATTTCGATTTTCATCGAAGAGCAACATTCTTGAATGCTACATGTTGTGTGGCTTAGTTGAATCCCTGAAATAGAGTTGTTATTTATTCTTCTGTTTGCTCGTGGAAGAGACTCCAACTATCTTCAAGAAATATTTTCTATACGTGCCTCTAAGCCAAGCAAGTTTATTTTTTATTTTCTAATATTGTTGTAATCCTTGTTCTAACAAGATCAATTAGCATGGTTTTCTAATGTTGGCCGTGGGTATCTCCTCAAAGCTCGTTAGCTAGACTGTTTAGTCTTGTTAATTAAGCGGACTTAACATACATCTGCAGAAGTACGATATTTATTGACGTGCTAAGACAGGAAGATTGGATGATAAAAGAAGCTAAGCTATCATTATGCGTCTTATGGCATAAATGTTTCTTATTCTGGTTGATGTTGTTAAATTAAAGTAAAATATTTCGGAATATTTGTTATGGATTTCTCATCTCTAACGTCAAAGCTGGAAATTTGCGTTATAGCGAACCGTTAAAAATATTTTTATAGTTGCTATATAAGTGAGACCTTGTTATGTAGTATCTAATTAAGAACCATTGTCAAGGACCGACTCCCTTACGCTCGCCAGCAACACCGATTTGCCCGTGCGGCGCCTGCAGTTCTCCTCGTTGCAGGCCAGCCTATCTTCTTTCCCAGGTTTTCAAACACGATCGTGTGCCTGTTGGTAGGACTCGCCCAAGAGGCTCGCCCCAACTTGTGCCGCCCGTAAGATGTCTAGGCACTTGGCCCTAGACATGTCGTGGCGCTTCTCATATTAGGATCATAATCTATGCGCGCCCTGGGGGTTGGCTTAGGACATGTCTTGTCCCTTGCCAAGACTGAGCATCGCTCTCGCGTGCACAGCCCAATCCTGAAGCTTGACAATCGCCTAGTGCATCCGTAATCGGCTCGCGCCTCGCCCGAGTAAGGCAACCTTTAGTCCTTGGCCATTGTCATGCACGTCTTTCGTGCCATGCCCATACATAGCCCTCGCGACACGCTTCCATCTTGAATAGTGCAGTGTCGCCCACAATTGCACGTTTAGGCCAACGGACCTTTGCTCGCATGGTTGAACCCAAGCCATGCTCACAAGTCGACACATGATGCCCCTAAGATAGGTGCATCAAGTATCCAATTGGCACGGAGGTCTCTTTTTAATATTTCGGCAGCCCGTGGGGCAGGCCGTCCCACACATCGAGCCTCCAGCGCCTACTTGATGCCCAACGCTAGCCCGAAGGCGTTGCGCCGTCCATAGAGTTCCCTAACTCGTATGGATACCTAGGACACTCCTTTGAGTCATCTAGGCAGGCCCTTGAGGTTTCCCCTCAGGTAGCTCTTTCAATACGGCTCGGTGGCAGTACGTATAGGGGAGGCAGGTGGGAGCTTTCATCACCTATACCCCTTATATATACTTAAAATTAAAAAGCCCAAGTTACCCGAGTAGACAGATCTATGTCAGACAATTAGAAGAGCCTTTTCTCATCAGTTCTTGGCCGAAGTCACAACCCCAAAGTGCGGGTTGTGACAACCATGGTCAACAACTTCTGATCCAAAACTGCGGTTCCTTCTTAGTAACTGGAAATAACGAGGGTGGTTATACAATAAAACTTCATGACTTCTATTCACCCTTTTTTCCTTAAGGATTGGGCGTGCCTGAAGCCCTTGAGAAAGAAAGACCTCCCTAATGACAACCGAATTTTGAACTCTTCAAAGTCTACAAGTTTCTTCATATCTATTCGTTGAAATGAAGTCTCGGGACAAGAGGGGTTGCTTAGAGAGTCGGGAATAAAAAAAATAAAAATATATGAAATCACAATTTTCTTTATTATCTATTAAAATATTGTTGGAAGGGGTCACATTTTTCTATTTTTATAATTATCCAAGTCCTTTAATGTATCCTTTTTTTAATTAAAGATCTCCAAGAACTTAGAATATATTACAGGGGATGTCAGATTGTTACGTCTTACTAGTTTTTAAGTTCTTGACATTCCAAATGTACGTTAGGTAACTGCATTCTAGAAGCTTAAGGACATTAAAATACAATTAATAAGTTAAATTGGTTACTTGGCCAAAGTTTAATCAAGAAAAAAATAGTACGTTAATATAATGCAAAATAGCACCTAAACTTAAGGCCAGAGTGTCGAAAATTAGTTAAGAGGGCTCGATAGCGTAAGCTACAAAGTCGTCTCTCTGTACTTAATTATTATCCGGCTGTAGTTGACATACATATATTATAATTTAACATGACAAAAGAGGGGAAGAAACACAAGCAAGCAAACAAAAGAAATATTATGCTCTTTTCATTAATCTTAATTTATTGTTGACCTGTGGAGTGAGCTGACGTTCAGATGAATATTTATCAACCATTTTAAGTATATTAATTCTTGCAATAATACAGGAAGAAAGGGTAGCAATTTTTCATGATCGTAATTCCATAATTCACTTGAAAATATTAAGAACTTTCTTTCTCTGGATTCCAAGCCATTATAATGTTATATTATTGCTGCAGCTGTAAAAGGAAAATTTTTCCCCCTCTTTTAATTTCCATATATACAATACCATTGTCCATTAATTAGCAATCCCTTTTCTCTTATAACCAAAATTAAACCCGCCGATCGAAGAACTAGTCTTGTAACATGAAACAAGAACCACGATCCCCACCTCTGCCGCACCACTTTCGCTACTCAAAGAGAATTTCATCTGCCGTTAAACCTGTTGTTTACTTCATCTGTCTCCTCTTGGCCTACTCGCTGGGTTATCTATCTAGCTACACACGCAATAATTATACTCATAACAAACCACCCGCGCATGTTAACGCTGTCGTCAGCTATGTAAACACAGCAATTAGCAGCGGAACAGAAGGCGACCACAACAATTTCGGGGCGGTGTGTGGTGAGGCGGTTCCTTCACAAAACATCCGCCACACAATTCTAGAGCGTGTCTTCAAGGGGATATCGCCGTGGCAGAATTTCCCGCCGCCACGCGTGGACAATCTCCTCCGAAAAAAGTGGGTCAAAGGTTGGGGTTCAAAAGGGGCGGTATTCGAGAATCTCATACGCAAGGTGAGACCCAAGACCATAATAGAAGTAGGCACGTTTTTGGGTGCATCGGCGCTTCATATGGTTGAGCTGACCCGTCGACTGGGTCTAAACAACACTCAGGTCGTGTGCATAGACGACTTTCGAGGCTGGCCAGGTTTTTCAGATCATCAAAAGTTCAAGGATATGAAGATGGTGAACGGCGACGTTTTGCTGATGTATCAGTTCATGCAAAACGTGGTGAACGGGAACGCGACGGAGTCAGTGGTTTACATGCCTTTTTCAAGCGGGTCAGCACTGGAGAAACTGTGTGAATGGGGTGTGTTTGGTGAGTTGATTGAGGTTGATGCCGGACATGATTTTCACTCGGCTTGGTCTGATATAAACCGGGCTTTTAAGCTTTTGAAGCCCGGTAGTGCCGGTGGTGTCCTTTTTGGACATGACTATTTCACCGCAGCTGATAATAGAGGAGTAAGAAGGGCTGTTAATTTGTTTGCCAGCGTTCATAATCTCACTGTCCAAGTCGATGGTCAGCACTGGGTTATCCATATTACCAATCCATCATTCTCATACTGATGTTGATAAATAAGCTATATATTGCAAATTAAACCTGTATAGATATAAAAACATCAGATCATGTCACATTTATTTTGAAGTTAATTAAGAGATGTATATATATTATACTGCTCTATTAATGAAGGTTGTCTGTGCTCGCAAAATGTCTATTCATCTTAATTGCTACTTATTTTGTCTTGCATTTTGAGAGCTTTGTGATTCTTTAATCATTAGGAATTTTACCCCTCCATTTTGTTTATATTCTGTTCCTNATATATATATTCTTCCTTATAACCATATCCAAGACTAAACTGAATTGCATAACGCCCAAAACATTGAGAAATAAAAGATCACATGAAATTCCCTAAAGTGTAATCAATTTTGCTTATTAGTCCACCAAGGAGTTATACTAGGTTGTTTATAATACATTTATGAATTTAGGAATTCAATAAAAATTGTAACTCAAGATTTTAATTTACCATGAAGTGGGCACTCGATATCAGTTAACAATGCTCGTTGTGAACTATCTTTGCTAAACAGGGCAACAAAGTTTCCCCTCCCCTGCCTTTCTTCTCTTTTCTAATTGAGTTACAAGTAAGCAGCGTAGTCATTGCATCGACCTAAACAGAAATAGATGCTTTCATGTGTACTTAGCTTTTTTTGCATTTGAAGCCTTACTTTATACACTCAGCACTTATTTAACCAAAGAAAAAAAAAAGACTCTTTATTTTCTTTCACAAGTAGTACTTTTGATAGAGTCAAATCAAACAACTCTTCAAGACTGAAAGGGGCGCGCGCACACAGAGTCTCAGGGGGCTTTTTGGTAGGAGGTATTAGAAAATATAATACAAGTATTAGCTTTATGTATTACTAATACCTTGTTTGATATATTTTTTTAATATGTGTATAACTAATGTTTGTATTAGTTATATATCATACTTGGTATTATTCTATGTATAAGTAATGCATAGAAAACCATGACATTAGTAATACCAAGGCTATTAATGCATTCATTAGTATGGTTAAAGACAAAATTATTCTTAAAGTCCCTTAAAGGTTGAGAATATGGAGGGCATCTTTGTAAATAATTATTTTTCTTAAAAATTATGCAATGCATTATAATTTAAATACACCACACCAAAAAGTAAATAAGAAATAATATCTGCATAACTAATGCTTGCATTACTAACTCATGCATTACTAATACACCTTATTCCGCATTATTCTTATACACCCTACCAAACGACCCCTTAGTGTAAAGGTATGTCAAGTATAGCATCAGAGTCTTCGTTTGGGTAGATGCAGGTGGGTGCAAAATGTTGGAGGTTTTCAAATTCAAGAACTTTATTTGAAAACAGAGATGATTTCTGAACAAAGAGACAAACTGATTAATAGGCAGAGTGACTTATCAGAAGCCATTTATGAGGCTCAAAACATACAGAAGAACTGAAAATTTATTCATACACAGTAAACAGCATATTTCAAACAAAGAAATTTGCAAGAAAATCTCTACTACCTCTTCATGTAAATTATGATCAGCTTACCTTACAAAACTTCTTTAGTCAAGTTAGATAATTTGTAGTTCCTAAGGAATGCTACAAATCTGATCTTGTTGGAACGTAATGCAAGTAATTGACATAGATTATATCTTAAAGGCAGTTTGTAGGAACTCCTCTTGCGCACCAGTTAGTGGTTTGCTCACTTCAGAGTGCTTAAGTGCTTATCTTGGAGAATTTATGGCGTTTGTTCTTTTAGAAGCAGAAACAATTTTTATTTTTATTTTTTAATTTTCAAAATAAAAGTACTTACAAATAATTTATATTTGTCAATGTATTCCCATTGTATGGACAAAAGCTAGCCAGTCAACAACACATCTATGGCCGAAGTCTCACAAACTTGCTTCCTCTATTTATTTGGTAGTTTTCATTTTTATATCTAATTCAATAAGATTTTAAACTTAATTAAGTCTCTCATAATAAATAATTCAGATCATTAATTTATTTGGTGAGTATTTACATCTTTTTTTTTGTTGGTAATTTGATGTTCAAAAGCTGGTAATTTGATGTTCAAAAGCATATTTTTGGGAAGATTGGTCTAATATAAGTTGCTCATCTAATACTAACAAGAGTGCTTTTTTAAAAGTAATTTAGCTAAACACAAAATATTACTCTCACAAAAGTAATTTTTGAAAACTCTCTCAAAGTAAGCAAAATTTAAAAGTTTAGCTAAATAGAGTATTACTCTTATTGCGAGTGCGGAACCAAAATGTGGTTCTTTTGGACTCAAAGAACCAAAATGTGTGGAAAAAATGAGCAATGAGCATAATATATATATAACGCCCTTTTAAAGGGCGCTATACCTTAACGACCGTTTGCCCAGTAAAGTATAACGCCCTTTTAAAAGACGATATATATATTATGTGGGCCCACCAATAATTCTTCTAGGCTTAATTAACATAACAATAATTCAACTGGGTATAGTGCCCATAGTTAAGGCGCTATACCTCAAATAATTGTACCCCCGGACTGGTTTTTGCCTTAATTTAAAGAGGTTAAAGATTTTGTAAAAATCCATTCATAAATATTCTCAAGTCTTCTAAAATATTTATTCGTTAAGTTATTTTGTATTTTGCCATAATGTCTGAAGAGCGAAGAATTAGGGTTTCATTATATTGGGGGAGGGGGAGGGGG